TAACCTTAACTGTACACACTTGTTTTTTGCACCCTAGATATATACACACTGGGGCCCCATTCATACTTATTTTCGTTAAAATGGATATATTTCAATTAATTTTTTTCAATCCATAGAAAATTGATTAAGGAATAAGCCCATAATGTGTAAAAATCGATAGAATTAAAGAATTTTGATATATATATATATAGGTCCAAAAAAAAAGAAAAGTTCAGAAACACGAAAAAAATCTCAATTTTTATCACTTTCTTTTAAAAAATCATCTTTTTTGTTTATAAATCAATTTAGAAAACCTTGAAAACTCTGAAAGGACATACTTGAAATGGTAAAAAAAAATTTTTACCCGATTTCCATTCTTTTATCAAAACTGCAAGCAATAAATATAACGAATTTTCTGCTTTTTATATTTCAACTGTTCATACTTTTATTGTGATTTCATATTTCCTTGTGTCGTTTTCGGAATCTGTATATATAGATAATCTTTATCGTCGAAACTAGAGCTATCGAACACCTTCGCTTCGGGACGAGATTGAAACATCTGAATTTCTGTCTCGTTATGAGTTCTTGTCTCCATGTTTCAATTATAAAATACGTTATTGATTTACTCGCGTACACTTCTATTTTCTTAAATTTCAATCTAATAAAAGAAAATTAGAATTAAGGATATTAAACAACGTATAAGCATTACGTATTTCTAATAAATATGTAACATTCTGACCATAAAACAATGCAAATTTGTAAAAATATTTACCTTGAAAAAGGTACGAGATATACATACTGAAATCTCGAGGACCCCAACCTCTTTAAGCGTTTATTGCTCGATTGTTCAACGATAAATGGCGTGCGGTATCACATATATATACTACAGGAGCCTCAAACTCTTTTTATTATACAACAACGTCCCAACCACCTCCCATTCCAATTTCAAAAATTTCATTCTTAGAAAGTTGCGCTGGGATCTCGGAGATCCCAATGTGTGCAGCTAAGGTTAATATCCATTTTAAACGTTATTTAAAAAAATTAAAATATTTTAATAATTAATTTAGTAATAATTATAAAAAAATTAAAATAGACAATAAATAACGGTCTATATCAAGCTAAATTTATTAATTAAAACAGATTTAAAATAAAAATTGGATAAACTTGATGTTTTTATAATTACAATATTAAATCTTCTTATAGGCAGTTTCAAATATGGACAAACCAGAAGAGTTTTTAAGACAAATAACATTTTCATGCGCGTTGTTAGTGCATTTATTTTTCGAGAGTTTTCAAGCGCAACGTTTAATCGACCATAGCACATATTTTCATACTAGTTTGTATGTATAAATTAATTTTTGTATTTAAAAAAATCTTACACGCATATTTTTGTAGAACACATTTTATAATATAGATATATACAAGGTGGCCCGCGTAAAGTATTACAAGCTAATAACTCTAAAAATATTTATCCTATCAAAAAGTTGTTCATAAAAAAGTTTCATATATTCAAAGGGCCTTTCTAATGTAAAAAAATCCACCCCTGTTCTCCCTTGAACAGGGACGGGGATAATAATCAAAAAATTCAAATGGTACCCTCTGTAAAATGTTACATATTTAGATTCTACGAGAAAAAACAAGTAAACTTTGTCTGAAACATTTCTTTGGAAAATGCTCTTATCAAAAGTTATGAACATTTAAACTTTTAGCTATTTTATTCACGATTGAATTCCATTGACACAATGTTTTGTGTTCACGATACAATGAAAACGAAGATGACCTTAATGTTAACCAAAAGAAATATAAATATACATTTATCGGGAAACGTAAATACAGATCCACTATGTATTTAGTTAGTGAATGTACTCACGAAATGAGATATTTCGTAAGTGGATAGTCCTGTTCAATGGCACCCTCGTTCACCTGATATTACATCTTAGGACTATTTTTCATGGAGGTATATCAAAGAGGAAGTCACATCTCAACCATTTACGACGAAAGAAGACTTAAAACGAAGAATACGTACTGCTTGCACTAAGGTAACTCCAGAAATGTTTAGAATAAAGCATAGTTTTGAAAAAAAATTAATAAGTGTTTAGATGTTAATGATCAACAATTCAAACATTTAATAAAATAAAATAAAAACAAAAAAACTATGAGTCTTACTTAATTTATCATTAATTTCAATGCACTCTACATTAGAGTTTAAATGATCATAACTTTTGATAGGAGCATTTTCCAAAAAATGTTTCAGACAAACTTTACTTGTTCCCCGTAGAATCCAAATATGTAACATTTTACACAGGGTTCCATTTAAAACTTTGAAATTATACCCCCCCGCCCCTCTTCAAGGGGGGACGGGGGTGAATTTTTGTTTATGCAGTTAAAAAGGCTCCCCGAATATATGAAACTTTCTCATGAACAATTTTTTGATAGGACAAATATTTTTAGAGTTATTAGCTTGTAACACTTTACATGGACCACCCTGTATATATTATACGAACGCATTTTAAATAAAGCAAAGTTATAATAAACAATATAGAGAATTTTGTAAAAATTTGATAAAATCGTTGATAAAATATTTATCTAATAATTAGTTGATAAAATATTTTTTTTTTTATCTAATAAAATACTCAATCCATTCTTACTTAATTTCAAACTAAATAAAATAAAAATAAAAATTCTACTAACTAAAAATTAACTCTCTATAATAATAAAATCAATTAAGACTCCTTATAATGCAAAAACGAATTGGAAAGAATAAAGAGAAAAGAATAAAGGAATCGGACGCAGAAGATGTCGCTAAAATTAAAAAACACCACTAATAAGTGAAAAAAACCATTTATTCGAATAACGCTCTTTTATTATGATAGTAACGCTTTTATATGTTTCGGCTAACATTTAGCCCTCTTCAGAGAAACAATTAACTAATTTATATATTGTAACTATTCAATACAATTTTTCAATCAACGGTGAGCTCCTTCACGTCGTAATAATTAAGATACAGAATAAATAACAGATAAAACTAAATGGATGAAAAAGAAAAAGAAGAAAAACAGAAAAAATGAAAATATCAGAAATAATAAATTGTGAGAATTAATTTCCAAAAAACTAAGATTATAATAAATTATCCCGAGAATAAAAGGAACTCACCACGATTATAAAGTACCGCATCGCAAACAATAGGGGAGAGTGGTCTAAATCGGACCAACTTACAGTTTTTGTTCTCTATAAGGCGTAAATAAAGATTATAAAACCAATGGTGCCATTCAAAAGATCATTTAATTTCTTTCATTTTTGCATGAAACCATTTTGACGTATCTCTTACATGTATCGAACTATAATGGAAAATGTAAAAATGCATTTTCCGGTCAGATTTAGAATCATGAGTTCTGAACCGGACCTCTCTTATTTTTATAAACTTTTAGATAGAATTTTAAAATATTTTAATTAATTTTTGTTAGTATTGAATAAAAACGAGCAATTTAAAACTGAAAGATAAAAATACAGTTTATATTATTAGAATTAAAATCAATAAAAAAATTCTATTAATCTGAATCTGATGACACATGATATTTTATTGATTTAGTGTCCCTAGACCAGATCTGATCCGTCGATTTGTAATCAAATTTGTGACCCTCCAGCAACCGATGTTCCGTTATAACGCTGCGGGTACACGTAACACGTGTTCCATTTGATGTGGTTTTTATGCTCGGCAATCCTTGATTTGAGTTGTCTACACGTCCGTCTCTCATAACTCGCATCGCAACTCTTACATAAGATTTTATAAACAACACGTGGCGATTTGTTAACACGCAAAGGGTCCTTATGTATCCTAATGAATTCCCATAATTTATTCATACTGTAAAACAATACTTCCTTATTATCGTTATTTAATTTATTGAACTTATCAGTAATACCACGATTAAAGCGGTCCAATTTGTTTAATATTAAATATTAATATTAAAAACCTGTTTTTAATATTAATTTTAGTATTAATATTAGTATTGTTTACAATGCGGTACTTTATAATCTTGGTGAGTTCCTTTATATTCTCGGGGATGATTTATTATAATCTTAGTTCTTTGGAAATTATAGTTCTCACAATTTATTATTTCTAAAATTTTTATTTTTTCTGTTACCCTTCTTTTTCTTTTTCATCCATTTAGTTTTGTTTGTTATTTATTCTGTATCTTAATCACGACATGGAGCTCACCGTTGATTGAAAAATTGTATTAATTAGTTCTGTAAATTAGTTTGTTTCTCTGAAGGAGGCTAAAAAGTTAGCCGAAACATGTAAAAGCGCTTCTATCATAATGAAAGAGCGTTATTCGGATAAATGGTTTTTTTCACTTATTAGTGGTGTTTTTTAATTTATAGCGACATCTCCTGTGCCCGAATACTCCTATTGCCCTTTATTTTCTCTCCAATTTGTTTTTAAAAATTAATCTAATTTCAATCTAAAAATAATGTTCTAAAAATAATACAAAATAGAGATATATTAATGTATTTTGGTTGTAGAATGAACATAGCATGGTATCAAACTTCGGCTCGAACAAAGAAAATTTTAATTTTTATGCTAATGAAGACACGAGATCCTTTTGTATTAACAGCAGGAAAAATGTTTGTCATATCCATGGATACTTTCTCTACGGTAAGACATATTATACATAATTATATACATATATATATAATATAATACA